GAGAACTTGACTTTCGATTTGTTATGACGCAGCTAGAACGCTGCTCCTGGGATGTAACATTAGATTCGATTCTAGATTAGATTAATTTTAGTATTTTAATAAATCCTTTTAAAACTAGATTTAGTATTTGATCATAGAATTATAGCTGAACCACCGCTTGCAGAAATTTAGATGTGGCATTTAGATACGTCGTTAGATAGTTAGATGCATAGGCGGCGACATTCGTGATTCGAATAGTATACATTAGTGCGTAAAAAAATGGAGCACAAAAAATTCCTTAACAGTATCCAAAATCTTTCTAAAATTTCCTAAACTGGAATATGCGTAGTGCCGGACTGTCGGTGGCATTTCTTGCAACAAAGCCATCTAAACGATCTTTACATTTGACCATACGCATTTCCTTCGTAAAAACAGGACACTTATAATGGCTACTAAGTAAACTTTCATTTACACACCAGTCAATTAATGTTTTTTTTTCCTTTGCTTGCAAATCATATAGAAACTTCAGATTAATCTCATCACATACAGCCATTTCACAGTGTGGAGCACAAATTGACATCCAACACAGAAATAAGCTTTACAAATATTTTCCTATCGGTCAAATTCGCCGCAGCCATGCAACCAATCGCGTAATAATATAGTTTCCATAAAATTCAACTACTCAGGTTACCATAAATGAAAAAAAAATACACAATCTTAAGTCAGGGTTCGTACATTCCTTAAGAGTCCTTAGATTTTTTGGAATCAATATTTGGTCCTTAAAAGTCCGTAATTTTGGCCAAAACCAGCAAAAGGTCCTTAATTTTAATCATCTGAAATTTCTGTCTGTTTTTACGGCTGCCATTTTGAGTGCGAATTAGCATTTTGGAGGAATATTTTTGGCGATTCACTGACATATATGGTTATCTTTTGAATGGGTTCATGGGTTATAATTTGTTTCTATTTCTAATATAAATGATGGGATACTCGAGTTTCTAAGCAAGAAGTGAAACATAAGCATTTCGAAATTCATTTTTTCTAATAAAGAGCTCCTAAACAACTTTTTGCTTTTAGCGATGTGAATTTTTTTATTAAACGGATCTAAATTTGGCAACTTATCAACATTTTGGCAATTTTAAGATCAGTTTCTGTAGAAAATTTTTAATTCCAAGATCTCAGAATTTTTCGACGATTTTTTTTAAACATCATAACATTGATAAATTTCATTAAAATAATGGTAATATATTGAAATTATATTTTAAAAATACATTAAAATAAAAACATTTTTATTTTTCACCATCATATTAGAAAGTTTCATTGTGGCAGCTTATTATACAATATTTTGAATCTGAAAAAATAAATAAGGTTTAATGCTGTAAAGCACAATTTACGAAACAGCTCTTAGCAAAAGCAAAATTAGCTATGCAATTAAATTAAAAATGTATTTTTAATTTTTTCATAGTTTTCCCATGTAATTGTCTCAGAATATGCATCAGTTTTCTCTATAAAATTAATTTGACACTTTTTCCCTCATTTTTTTTTTTTTTTTTTTCTTTCCAAAATATTTCTTCCTTTTTGATGTTACAGAATTGGTAATGATAATTTTTCATTAGTATTTTATTTTAGACATTGCAGCTTGGAAAGTTAAGAAAGATCTGAAGGCAAGATTTAGACCCTTGATTGTAGAAGATTCGAGAAATATGTGGCAAAATGGAAAATGTCTCCATGGTATCAACAAGTAATGGATGTATTTTACAGAAAGTTTGCGATGAATTTCTTACTTTTGGAGAACGTCTGGAAAAAAAAATGAAAACATAATATTTGAATGTTTTACTCCTCATACTAGAATCTTTTTTAACATGTTTATCTTCCCTTTATTTTCTCTACTTTTCACTAGCCACAAATGTGGAAAATACTTCTAATCTTGGTAGGCAGATCTAATCTTGGCCTTAATGGGCAGGTATTATAGAAAGAGATTTTTTATTAATAAAGAAATTGAAAACTTTCAATCAAAAGATTCATCTAATATGTCTTAATGCTGGCAGAGCTGGGCACTAGGCTTTTTCCCACCTGATGCAATTTCTGTGGATCCTAATTCTGCTGCTTAGTGCCTTTCTAAATTCTGCTTCCAATGCCTGCTCTAAATTCTAAAAGTTTTGCTATTTAAATAAGAGGCTTATTTAAATCTTTGTCTGATATTGTAGTTACTTCAGACATAGTGATAATTTACTTGATGTCTGTAGGGGGGGTTGGCCTATTTAACTTTTCCCAGATCAAGTAAACCCTCATAGGTACATTGTGGAGAGGTTGACAAGTTAGGAGATAAAGCACACAGAAACTTGCAAGAGCATTGGTTTGCATGTTGTGACAAATCTCAAATTGTTAGAAAATATGCTTAAAGAGAAGGAAATCGATGATAAGCTAGCCAAAATGCTTGGGAAGGCTTCAAATTAAAACGACAGATAAATATTTTGTTGAGTGTTGTTGTAACAAAACATTCATGTTTTGTAGCTTTTAATATGCCCTAATATTGTTTAAGAATTAGTGTCATAAATTACATGTATTTTAAACACTAAAATTTTATTAGATTTTGATTTTAATTGGGCTTTTTTAACAAATATTGTATTGTTAAAAAATAAAATTTAATAGTGGCCATGTAATAATGATTAAGGTTATCTAATTACCTAATTTAATTATTTATAACTAACTGCTTATCCTTAAAAATTATCTCCACATATTAAAGAGAGCTATTGCCTTTCATTAGCACTCTGTGATCACAAAATAAACACAAAATGTAAAATTCAAGTAAAACATTTTTCATCTAGTGAGACTTAAAATACAAAACACTATCACCTCTTGTGCTTTATGGCTTATTCAGGGTGTATGCTTAAAAGTCCTTAAATTTTTCAAAAATGGTTTTTGGTCCTAACCCTTTGCGACACGCATATTTAAAATATATTTTAATCTTTAAAAAAATGCCTTAGAATAAGTCAGATGGACTTACTTAAGTGCCTTTAAGGCTTGAAAAAAATTTCTGCGCTTTTATTTTTTACGGGGGAAGGTGGGATACCGTTTGTCCCACCATGCAACTAGCACATGTCTTATAGCATATTGGTGTATAGCAGGGGAAAAAATCATATGTGGAATGAATAAACAAAATAAAGCGTGCATTCTAAAATATTCATAATAAACACACTAAAATGCATTTTGTACTTATTGCATATATGCATGACTTGTAAAATTTTGCATATGCACATTTTGCATATATATATTTAATATTTTTAAATTTTAGGAACAAAAGAAAATATTTTCTTGAATATTATTTTAAGATTAAAATTTGATACTCGTACATATGATACTAAATAAAATATTAAAATTGGCACTTGATTCAAAAACATTTATATATGATTAAAATTGAAAAAAAGTCATTTTTCATGAAACTTTGAAAAACATGTTGTTTCATTCTTTTGTAAGCATAGAGGCACTTCACATGTTTCACACATCCAAAATGTTCGTCGTTCTTCTTTCGATGTGCTGCAATATGCACATCTTCTCCTGCTCGTTCTCTTTGGCGTGTGACTTACATTTTTTAGTCTCTTTTCTGGTTGTACGAACGGGTTTTTAGTTTTTATTTGAACTGGGGATTTCAGTTTTCTTTTCAGCTCTTTCTTGCCTGCAAGTGCCATTAGACCTTCTATAACTGAGAGAAGAAAATCTTTCATTGTTTTTACATCATGATCGGGTTCGCGAACAAACTTAAATAGAATAAATGCGTTTACTATACTCGCATCTAAAAAGTAAAAAAAAAAAAAAATCATGTGCCACCATTTCTTGCTTTTGCGGTCTATTTCATATAGTCCTTTCAGTTGATCAATCAGTCGACATATCCCATATTCTTATTGTATGAAATAATGCTGTTTGGGCACAGTACTTTTTTTGTCTTTCCATCTCGTTCTTTTCTATTAATTTCTTTCATTTCAGTTGCCTTTTCCAAGCAAGACAGGATAGAAACGGATCTTTTATCCTTCCATTTTATGCAATAAATTGAATCATCGCTAACTGAAAAGTCTATATATTCTCTTGACATAAATTTGTCTTTTAAATTTTTGGGTAGATACTTCCGATTCATATTTACAGTGCCACATGCAGATGGCAGCCACATGCATAGATGGGTCTGTGTCTTTAAAAAGCGAAACAAATTATAACTACTTCCCTTTCTTCTTCAGCAATAACTTCAACCTCAGTTATTCTCTCCTGGATTTCAATTTCATCTGAATCAGAACTGACATCTGAAGCATTTGAGTCGCAATCGGATGGCAATTCAGCAAAAAGATCCAAAGCTTCCTGAGTTGTTAATTTTTTTCTAGACATTTTAGCACATCAGAGCATACAACGGATGTAAAAGCGCGCGCAATCACGAAAAAAGTAGATGCAAAAAAGAAAAGAAAAAATAATCGTGAGTGCTGCCATCTATTGAGCGGAAATTCAAGTGTGTGGTGGGACAAATTTTAACCCACTTATTTCAACTGCAAAATTAATGTTATAAAATATTGAATCCAATTAAGATTTTTGAAAATAAAATACCTTTGAATATTAAAAAGAATCATACATATCATAAATTGTATACCAAAATTTTTAAAATATTGAAAAATGCGAGATACATGGATATCACTCTTGTGATCCTATTTTGAATATTTTTGCTTATAAACTTAAGCCCTGGTATAGTAGTAACATCTACTGAGAAAAATAATAACTAAAATAGATTATTTTTAAAAGATTAGAAAATTTCTAACGGAAATTGCTAACTGAGAAAATAAATATTAATTAGGTGGGACATATATTGACCCCCAGCTAAGGGTTAAAGGTAAAATGGATGCTATTGAATCTTTTTTAAATGGCATTCAAGTGAACAACTCAAAGAATAAATACACTTCTTAAAATCTGTGGCGATTTCGGCCAAAAACATAGTACAGAAGAAGTATAAGTGTCTGATTGGCTATTCACCCAATCTTTCGAAACAGGTGTTATCCATAAATTTAGGCAGATGTGACGAAAGCGTGAAGCCGGAAGTTCTTTAAGAGGTGAAAGTGAAGGTGCTTGAGAAAAAAAAGGGGGGATTCTGAAAATATTTGCCAAAATTAGAACAATCCCAACCTGGAAGGCCACAACACTTCCGACGCCAATAGGAACGAGATGCCTGGAAAGTGCATTTTCAATAAACTGTGGCTTCATCAAGCTGACTCCAAAGACTGGATATTGATGGATGACAATCCTTATAAAGCTAAATGTGGTCTTTGTCTGAAAAAAATTGAAATTTCTAGAATGGGAGAGTCAATGCTGAAAATTCACATGAAAGGTAAGTTTCGTTTTATCATTTCAATTTGTTTTTACACAGTTTTGCTTAGCTTAATTTCTGTGTTTGTTTAAATTAAGCCATACATTAATTTTTGATCACCTTCTACAGAGTTTATTCTCTTTTGCACATATATGTATGGGATATCGGGGTTATGAGTTTATTTCTGCAGAGGGTCTGTTATCGATTTCACGGGAAATCTGTTGGCTCCATTTCGATATTAGGTCGCCGAGGGCGAATTCGGTAACGCTAGCCGAGAAAAAGTGAAGTTCAGAAATACGTTTTGAAGCTTCAATAGACAATTAAGTATTTGGTTTAATCCTATGCACAAGGAATTTGGCGACTTTATGATGAGCAGAGAGTAACGGGACATATACGAAGTTTTAGCGATTTAAAAAAAAAAAAAAAATTGCTGTTGATAGTAATGCCTTATCTGGTTTAATTCTAGTTTTCGGTGCACAAAGGATTTGGCTACTTTTGGCGACTTTATGATGAGCAGTAAACGGGACATATACGATGAGTAGTTAATCGGGTCATTTTGGTGTTGGCGATAATTTTCAAAATCGCGCCAAGGCTGCACCGTATACTAGGATTTTACCAACTTCCCTAAATTCTGCCGCCTGGTGCGGCCATGAGAGCTCTGGCGGTTTCTGGCTTTATGTGAATAAAAAATTAGTTATTCTTAATTCAAATAGCACTAAATATAATCCTATGAGTATCATTAACAAAAATCTATTTTTAGCATAAGAAAAGAAATTTCTGTTAAATCTCCGCTTATCAACATTTTAGCACATTAAACTTATATCTGTAATCGAAAATACTCTGTTATTTGGCGTCGCTGCATGAGTCATCACTCAAATTGTCATCCGTTGATAAACATGCGGGAAGAAAGCAAAATACAATAAATAATGATTGGCTATTTCGGCATCAAGGATATAAAATATTAGTTGGTGTAAAATCAACAAATGTTTCAGTTTGAGATTATGCTAAGCAGATACGCAGCTATGGAGTCAAGTTACTAATCATACAAATTTATGCTAAAATAATTATTTCTTCAATAATGAGATATTTTATTTAGTGTCCAAACTGAGATTAAGAATCGGGATTTCCGACATGTTTCTTTATGATGAGGGGAAAAAATCTAAATGCGCATGCGTAAAGCATACCCCTTTCCTCACAAAAAAGCCTAAAAAAATTGGTTGGTTGGTTGGCTTTGAAGGTCTGGATTTTAGATCATTCCAGATATTGGACGTCCAGATCTCGGACTTTGTACTGTATATACTATATATATATAGTAAAAATGTATATTTTCAGTATACATTTTTTATTATTATATATATAGATTTCTTATTATATATATATATATTATATATATATGCGATGCTTAATTTTACTAATGCCTTGCTTGTAATGCCCCTTTTAGGTTGCAAAACATCTCTCTCTTCTCAAACTGCAGAGTTTCTTCTAACAGTGTGCCGTGTCTGAAAGAATATTGCTTGGCAGCATTGTTTTACGCCAAGCAGAGTTTGGCTTTAGTGTAACCCTAAAGTTATTTCGTTTTTGCCTTATTAGTATGTATGATTTCTGACTTGATGTAAGAGCATATGGTTGCTCGCTTTTAGCTAAGTTACATAGGTAACTATAAGCACATGCATGTGCTAGTATTCAATAATGTTGTTTTTGTTAAAATAAATTTGTTATTGTTAATATTACAGTCCACTTACTGAAGTTAAGTTTCATTAAATAAGTTTGAGCTATCTTCGGCAAGAACAAACAGTATCATGAATTTTGTCAAGTTAGAAGAACCATCTGCTTCAGGAAAAGATGTTGTAACTGCTAATTCAACATCAATAAGTGTAGAAAAAAAATAAAATCAATTCTTTTCTTTTCAAATCTGAAGTTACAGATGCAGAAATATTGTGGGCTTTTAAGTGCATCAAAAGCCACTATTCTTTTAAATCGTGCGATGATATTGGGTCGTTATTCACTAAAATGTTCCCGGATAGTTCCATTGCAAAACAATTTTCATGTGGTGAAAAGAAATGTGCTTATATCTGTCATTTTGGTCTTGGCCCTTATTTTAAAACTTTGTTACTAAAGCATTGTAAAAATGCTGACTTTGAGACTCTTAATCTGACAAATCAAAAGAAGCAACTAGATATTTATGTAAGGTACTGGCATCACGAAAATAAGGTCAGAACTCGGTACCTTACTTCTGCATTTATAGGGCATGCAACAAGTGAAATTATTTTATCCAAATTTTATGAATGTGTTGAAAACTAGACTTGTCAAAACTCTTACAAATATCGATGGATGGTCCTGCAGTAAACTGGAAATTTTATGATTTATTGCAACAGGACTTGACAAAGGAATATAACATTCAGTGCTTGACATTAGGGACATGTGGTTTACACATTCTTAACAATGCTTTCAAGCATGGGATGTCATCCACTGGCTGGGACATTCCATCATTCTTATCCTCCTTATATTGGATTTTTAAAGATTCTCCTGCTGCAAGACGTGAAGATTTTTTAAGTATATCTGGCTTAAAAAGGCTTCCTGTGAAGTTCTGCTTTTACCGATGGTTGCAAAATGTCCCAGCAGTTGAAAGAGCCATTGAAATGTGGGATGACTTGCTACTGTACATTAAAAAAGTTGAAATGGGGAAGTTTAAAAAAAATTCATCGGAATCCTTCTCAAATATTTTGGAGGCAACTAAAGATAAAACATTTCTTGTAAAATTAAATTTTTTTCTCTCTCTGTCGAAAATATTATTGCCTTTTCTTGAATATTATCAAAGTGATAAACCACTTATTCCCTTTTTTGCTAAAGATATCTTAAAACTTGTAAATGATTTGCCTTCAGCACATTAAATTTTGAAACTAGAATATTCAAAAATAACCAAAGCGGAAAATCTTTATAAATTTAATTTTAATGATCCAAATTGTTATAATGATAAAAGTAAAGTTTATTTGGGGTTCATTGCTGAGCAGTTAATGAATGATAAATGCCGCAAAGAAGGTCATTTCACAAGCTGAAAGTTTTGCATTGAAACAAGGTCAATAATGTTAACAACAAACAAGGTTAACAATGGTACAACACTTAATGTCTAAATGTCCAATAAATTATTCTCTTATTCGAAATGCATCTTGTATAGACCCCGATTGATGGCTAAAAGTCCAGAAAAAGCCCAGAACAAAATGAAAATAGTTCTAACTGTATTAATTAATGCGGTATAAACGTGTTTTACAAGATGATTGTGATGAAATTCTGCTGCAGTTTGGAGAGTTTCTAGACAAAGTAGTTAAGAGAAATTACATGAATTTTCTGCTTTTGATCTTCAAAATCTTTCTCTTGACACATTTCTTACTTCTTATTTTCATGATTTTCCACTATTCAAAAGTATGGAAAATAGTGAAAATGATTCTTATCTGGTCACATGGACAGGCCTCTGTGGAAAGGGGCTTCTCTGTAAATAAAGCAATGGAAATTGAAAATTTAAGTGACTCATCATACATTTTTCAATGCACAGTATTTGATTACATAAAATTTTCTGGAGGTATTCTTAATATCGAAATTAATAAAGAAATGAGATCAGC